ATCCTTAATTTACACTCACCACTTCTCACCAAATCTAAACTTTCTCATCATGTACTCTTAAAAGGACAAGTTAAGTGAATCACACGCCTTATTAAAATCTACCTTAAAGTCAAGACATAGTTTTAAAACCCGGACTGTTCCGGCCGGTCGGACCTGTTAGATCGTGAACCAGAGATAGAACGATCCGGTAAGGTCATCATACCATAGTTATAATTGACCCGGTGAAAGCCGGTGTGACCCGGCCGGTTCACTGGTTATACCTATGAACCAGTGGGTTTTTTGAACTGGCGGGTTGATCTTTTATGTGTTTTTTTAGCTTAATTATAATTTTGATCCTCCTATTTTTAGTTTTCTTATGTTTTTTGTACTCCTGTTTGAAAATTTGATTTTATTAATATTTATAATTATATTAATTATTTATAATAACTAAATAATATTAAAATTATAAAAATGAAATTTTGTCAAATTTTAAGAATCGTGACCTTTCAAAACTATTAGGATTGTAGTTTTACGAACTATACTATGAATCTCTTTGATGTTTAATTTGGTAAAGAAGATGAGAGTTATATATGATATAATTACAATATTTCTCTCTAATACAATTTTCATTAAACTTATTTATTATTAATCATACAATAAAATAATATAATAAATTTAAAAAGTTAGAAAATTAATTATGCGATATAATAATACTATAAATTAACAAAAAAATTGGAAAAAAATCATGTTGTCAAATAAAAATAAAATTATACTTTTACATTATTAAAAGTTATATGGACCGACCAGTGACTCACTGGTCCGACCGATAACCCAGTGACCCAATAGTTTGACCGGATTGATGACCGGTTCAGATTTTAAAACATTAGTCAAGACAATCTTTTTACGACTTTTAGCCAAGTCAATGCTCTCGTTCAATGTCACAACCCCATCAACTTGTTCCCTCCTTTTAAATAAGATAAATTGATTAGGGAAAATAAAATTCTCCGTCATCAAAACAAGTTTAACTTCTAGCACTTTTGCCACCAACTTATACAACAATATAAATAAAGAGATGAGTCTAAAATCCACAAGAGACAAGGTAACCCCACTTTAAAGTTATTGTAATGAAGTAAGATTTCAAACTCCTAAAAAGAGTGGCATTATAAAAAAAATTAACGTATACTAGAAGAATGACCCATTCTAATATTTACTAATAGAGAACTGTTATAATAATTAAAAATATTATTATTATTATTATTATTATGATTTAGATATATCTATCTAAATAGTCAAATTTAAAATAGTAATGATAAATTATTAGTGATGTATAATTTATCAAAGATTGAATAGTAATATCAATTATTTCCTTAGTCTAATAGTAATATTTCTACTAATATAAATACCCCCTTTGATAAATGTAAAATTACACTTATTTTACTTTGAAAGATAGAAAAAATAGAATTATACTTCCTTCTTCATTTTCTCATAGTTTGATATTATAAACCAATATCATCATATTAGTTTCACAAATATTAACTAAGTTGGATTCAAATATCAGTTTTTTCTCAACACGTTATCAGCAAGATCATTTTTATCAGACGTTTTCACTACACTATATATATATATATATATATATATATATATATATATATATATATATATATATATATATATATATATATATATATATATATATATATATATATATATATATATATATATATATATATATATATATATATATATATATATATATATATATATATATATATATATATATATATATATATATATATATATATATATATATATATATATATATATATATATATATATATATATATATATATATATATATATATATATATATATATATATATATATATATATATATATATATATATATATATATATATATATATATATATATATATACTTAATACTTTAATCTTATTATTATTATTATTATTATTATTATTATTATTTTCCTCGGTTAAAGAAAACTGACAAACCGTCAAGTGATTTATAACTAGAGTGCCTATTATCATTGTTATTACTTTATCCTTTGTTATAGAAAACTGACAGCTTGTCAAGTGTTCTATAATAATTGTGACTATTATTATTATAAATTTTGTGTTGAGGTCTAAAACCCCATATGCAGTTACTAACGTTTATATTTATGCAATTACTAATTTTTATATTTAGTGGAGGTCTAAGACCCATGCTCAATTATTAATGTTTATATTTATGCAATTACTATCCTTTATATTTAATAGAGGTCTAAAACTTCATGCAGATACTAACTCTTATTTAATGGAGGTCTAAAACCCCATGCAATAGCTAACTTTTATATTTAATGGAGGTCTAAAACCCCATTGTTAGTTGTGGTAAAGCAACAAGCAAAAATAAGTATTTTTAGTTTTGTTTTATCGTCTCCACAAGGATTAGTGAAAGGGAAAGTGTATCGTTCAACAGTTTCCGCGTTTCTAAACTTTGGTTAAAATGGTTTAAGGTATGAGGTATGAAAAGTAAAATTATGAACAAGAAAATAAATACATTCTTTGGAGAGGAGAGAACTCTCGGGATTGAATTTCATATACCCTTCGAATACTTAAACTTGTTACTCAATTGAACTCATCCTAAACTACTCGTGCATATCATAATCTATCTCCCACACAGAGGTTATGTCTAACGCAAAGTGAGATATCAATTATTTTGCTCTCATTGGCAATGTCTCGCACAACTTAAACAACACGGAAGCATTAAGCGTCGATACTCACTGTGATTATTAAGTCGAAATCTATCACTAAAGTTTACAACCTAACAAATATTCATCCTAAATCTGGATTTGAACAATATATGTATATAACAACTCAAACTCAAATATTAAGCAAGCTAACAAGGATAAACATCAACTTTGAATTATAAAATAGATTTTATACAATACCATGAGCAATAAATATACATACAAAACAAAGTATACTTACAAACAAACCCCAACAATTGAATCTTACAAATAGAAGAATGGAGAAGAAACAAAATCTCTCGTGGTGTCAATCACGATCAAAGAAGCTTTGACCCTGAATCATCCGATTACAACTTCCAAATGTTGTTTTCTAAGCTCAATCATCAAAAGAATGAAAGTGATGGAGGTTGGATAAATATTCCCCAAAAATATACCTAAAAAATTTGTCTAAAATTATTTATATAAAAACGAAAAATGCAAACCGCGCTTAGCCTGCAAAACTGCTGTAGCGGTAGAAATATTGAGACTAAGTCATTGGATTGACTAGACTTATACAGATCAAAATAAAAATCACCACCGCGCTTTATTATTTCCAAAGGAATGGGAAAAGAGCGAATAACCCAAAAGAGGGGAAAGATTAAAGGTAAGGGGGTTAGTTATGTAAAGGGAAGGTATTAACACCCTAAACATCTACGGTACTCCACGGGAACCTCTTTGTAAATTTGTGTATGTTGGCTATTAAAAAGAGCTATTTGCATGAATGAATCAATTTGGGAAAAATAAAGTTTTTTTTATTATTGCGTTCGCTCGGATCTTCAATCCAGTGCCTACGTATCCCAGGAGGAATCAGAACACTCGTAGTTCTTCTTTAAAAATTTAAAACACAAGTGTGTTGGTTAATTTTATGAGATAAGACATCATCGTCATTGTCCGTGTGGAAAAACATACTTACTACCCACAATCATGAGAAAGGAGAATTTGCATCATCTCAAAGTGGAGGATATGGCTTGGATTTTAAAATCAACAATTCCTCACTCAACACCCAAGTGGAAAATATCTCACTTCACTACATATTGTAGAAGTATAGTCGTTTGCATCACTACAAGGATTGACAGAAGTCAAATCTTTTGAGAAAAGTTTAAAGATAAGAGCCAAAATGGCAAAATGGTTTGAATGAGATTGATTGATTTTTAGTCTTCTCACAAAAATGTCAAGGTATTGTTAAGTTGATTGAAATTTATTTATGAAAACATTTTGAAAATGCATGGACCTAAGTCCAAGTTTATTATGAAAGTGGTCCAAATTTAGAAATAAGAAGTGCTTTCAAAAGGAGGGAGAAATTTTTTGAAATAGGAGGAGATGAAGGGACTATCCTAAAGCAAGAAGGCAAAAGCTATTCTAATGTTTGTGCTTGCATGAACCTCCTAAGGTCTAATCAACATAAAACAATCAAAAGAGAGATTAATCGTCTCATGGAATCCTAAAGAAGCATGGCATTTCAACGCAAGGTAATCCTCAATTCTCAAGTATTTTATTTGATCAATATTACACAAATAAAACACATAAAACATTATGTTTAATCTTGATTTAAAAAGAAGATAAAAAAACATGAAGAAATAAGAAGTATAAAATCTAATTAAATCCTAAATACTTCTAAAAAAACTAAAGTGTTTTTTATATCTTTTTATTATTTATTAATATTTTTTAATACCTAAAAGCATTTAAGATGAAAGCATTAAAAAAAGAAATGGAAAAATTAAATGAATGAGAAAATAGAGGGGGGGTGAAATTCTGACTAAAGGTGTGGGGAAGTAAGGCGCTACAACCCAGAGTCTGAGTCCAAGAGAAGTTTTTATTGCACTTGGCTAATAGACTTAAAAACTAACGGGCTCAAGGAAGCAGAAAGGTTGCCAGGCCCAATCTTAGCCCAATTCCCCTTTTCAAATCTCAGCCATTTATTTACTTCAAAATTTATTTTAAAAGAAACAAATAAAAATTAGAAAAAGGAAAAAAGAAAAAGCTGTCGTTTGAGAGAAAATGGATTAGGGTTAAGCAGTTGTGGCTATTCAGCTTCCACAAACTCAGCTCCTTCGTCCTCTTCGCAACAGCGCCGTGGAAATCAACCTTCAGTTTTCCGATAGCGGCTCTGCCGTCTCCGATTCTAATCATCTCCATCATCAACTTCAAGATACATTCCCGCTATGAGTTTGCTTCATATGCATCGTGGATGCTCCCTCCGTAGACGCTCTGATCTCCTTTCGATTCATTCAACACAATGCCACCAAAGCCATATCGTGAACAACAACCTCTATCCACTATCAACTCTCCGTCTTCATCCGGAAATCTTTCTCACTCCAATTCACCGTCTCACTTTGATGTGCTCCGTCTCATATCTCTACTGCTACTTCTTCTTCTTCGCGGCTACGTTTGCTCACGAATCAACGCCTCAACGCTTCATCTGATTTGTTTCAATTCTGACACAATAATTTTGTTCTTCAGCTCCAAAATAATGCTATCGTCACACTTCTCATCTCTCGACCGAAGCAAACGAAAGAGCTAATATCTAAAAAAATGTGCGTCCGAAATGGTTTACGGTTATACGATCTCAACATTTCAATTTACAGAAGTTCAAACAACTATTACCTCATCAAAAATCAAGTGAGAAAGTGACGATAAGTGAAGGTTCAAAGCTTACCAATCAGATTTGCTCCGATGCCGCTTCAAACGTGCCACATGCGAAGAGAATCCTTGGAGCTTCAATGGATCTCAGGTATTATTATGCTTTTTCAACCGTTTCTGAATCACTTCTTCCTATTCCTTCTTCTATTTCTCTATTTCTATGCTTCCACATTTTTTTGAACTTGCCGCGTGAAGTTCTATGATTTATTGTTGTAGGTCACAGTTGATTATGATGAAAAAGAGAGAGTGAAGATGATTGAAGATAGTGAAGCAAGGAGAACTTATGCAGAATTCAGAGAAGAGTTTTTTCAGAATATTGTTGAATACATCGTGAATCTTTCATATCCGTGAAGGAAGATAGAGCAGAGAAATGAAGTTTCTATGGTTTGAAAGAAGATGAAGCTGTACTGAGAAGCAGTTAGAGAGTGAGTTTTGGAGAGAAGAAGTTTGGAGGAAAAAACGCATCATGAATTGTAGAAGTATCAGAGAGAACTTTGAAGCTTCTCTGAGAAGTCTTGGCAGCAATCAATCCCCTCCCCAGATTGAAACAGAAGCTCAGATTTATAACTGTTGGCTTAGCTTCTCTGAGAAGTCTTGCTACAGGTAACTCAATCTGGACCATTGAATTTGAAATTCTGTTATATGAATGAATGGATGAGATGAACTGAGCTGGAACTTTAGTTTTTATTTTCCTGATTTTCTTTGGTTTAATACTTCCTCTAGTTTTCTCTTTGGCCTTGATGAGCTGGTATAAGCTTCTTGTGCAAGCTTTTAATTCTTTTCTAAAATTCTGTTTTGCAATTTTCCTAACTGGTTTTGTTCTGTTATTTGCTGAGCTGGAATGTTCTTGTGTTCTTCTGGTTTATTATGCAGGTTTATTGACGGACCGAACTGGTTTTATCACTTGAATGTTTTTTTTTTTTGGTTTTCATGATGTGCAGACAGTTTATCCAATACAAGGGCCTGATTTGTTTCTTCTTGAACGGATGCTAGCCCATGGTTCTGCACCAGCTTTTGTTTTCTTTATTTTTTGAAACAATGCAGGGTTGCACTTTTGGTAAGTTTGGATAATTGCTTTCCATCATTCTTTAGATATAATATCTTTATGATTTTTTAGCTGTCACAATACTTAATGCAGGGCTGATTTTGAGATGATATTTTGGACAAGATTATAACCACCTTGGAGTTGTTTTGGTTCAACATGGTACAAGCAGAAATAATGGCAATTTTGGACAGAATTGTATGAACTAATACTATTTTTGGTTATTGTTATGCTGTAGGGTTTTTAGTCCTTTTCCTTAGGCATCAGATTTAGAGCTTGAAGATAGAAGACTAGGTCTAGGACAATGTTTTCGTTATGTAATTTTTTGACTTGTAATACAAACATGGATTGTATCTTGTACCTGTTCTTAAGAATGAAGAATGAATTTTTGTTGAGATATTCAAGGAAACTTATTTGAACTTTGTATTAATGAAACTTGATGAACGGTGATGAACCAAGTGAAATTCAGTGAACTTTGAAATATGGCATGCTTGTAATCTTCTCTTGAATCGTGATGTAACCTTCTAAATTCCAAGCGAACAAAATTTGTCAGCTTTCTAACTTTACAACTTTGATCTTGTAAATACATCTGCAGGAAATGACGAATACTTTAAGTTTTTTTTTTGAATTCTAAATGATGCACTGGAATAAATTTAAACTTGGATTTCAACTAGAACTTATCACTTGTAAATTGCATTTCAAGTAAGCCATAAACATGAACTTTCCAAACTCAACTTTTGGTCTTCAATTCAAATCCAAAATAATTTGTAAGCAACCAAATAATTGAATAGGCAACCAAACTCTGCTTACAAAGAAATCTAAATCACATCTTCCATGCCATGATTCATATTTCGCAATTTAATCCACAAAACCCTCCTAGCTTGATAACCATTAATCTTGAAACAAAATTAATGCCTTGAGGAACAACTTAAAGATGAATGATAGGACTTGAAGTATGAAGTCCAATGAATTTCAATTGAAATGTTGACAAACTCAAGCATGATAAGATGTAAACCCTAGCATGATGAACTTTGTTGAAGAATCATTATCAATGCTCAAGCAAGATAGGAGAAACCCTAATGCATTTTCTTTAAGTGCACATTGATGAAGAAAGCTTGAGACGCCGAGAGGAATAAAACCTAGCTCAAGGACATTCACAGTGAATTCATGATAAAGTCTTGAGTACACAAGTCAAATCCTAATGCGTTGGTTTCTTGAAGAATTCAGATGAAGAGAAACTTGTATCTCGAGGAATCTTGCCAAGGAAAATATCCATGATGCTTGTGATCCAAAACCCTGGTTTTATACCAAGAGTGATAAATGGAACAGTGAGATCAACTTGAGAGAGACAATAACCTCAATTCATAGGGGAAAACCCTAATATCAAGAGCCATTTGAGCCTGTGTCTTAATATCTCAAACGAATGAAAGATTTATGATGTAAATGCATATGATGTTATGAATGAACATATTAGGGGCAAAAAGCGGGGTATGACAACCGCGCTAAGCGCACTCTCATTTATTCGACTAAAACCTCCCTAATGTGCGCTACGTGCCCTAGAGCGTGCTAAGCCTGAAAGTCTCAGGTTTTTGCTTCTTCTTGCGCGCTATAGTCGCGCTTAGCCCCGTCTGCAACACTTTTTTTCATCAAAATTGCATTCTTGAAGCTTTGCCTTTGGCCTTTATTACTCTATGCTCCAACCATGCAATAAATCCTACAAAAGAGATGAAAAACTATCAAATGATACAATATTTATATAAAAACTCGATTATACTATTATTTACACAAAAGTCGAGGGTTTACTATAAAAACCAACAGAACAAAGCTAATAAGTGCCGCACTTTTCAACTGAAAATAATGATATTTTGACACTTATCACCCATATGTATATACTAATTTTTATCATACATGTTCTTTTACCTTATACGTTATCTTATAATTATCTCTATCACTTATAACGACTAGATGATATTTAACACACTTTAAATTTTTGACTAGATAATTTTTATCACTCTTAACCTTTTTCTTTTTCTATTTCCTTTTCTCTAAATAGTAATATAACAACTATTTTTAAAAATTACCTCTATAAATACTTCAACCTCTTTCATAACTTTGACATCATTCTCAAAACATCTAGCCATATTTTTAAAATGGCTATTTTTCTTATTTTATTCATCACTCTACTTGTGATTATTTTGTTTCTTATCGGTATTATTAAGCATGAAGAATCAGAAAATAATTTTGTATCTTTAATGATAATTATCGTCTTACCATTACTAATCATAGCTTAGTTTATTAGTAGAGGTTTTTGAATAATATGTGGACATGGATTTTATAATTGAACTAGTAACAAACCCGTGCTATCGCAGGGTCTCGTCTGGATTCACATTACATTTATAGATTATTAAATTATTAAGTATGTTACCATGTTTTCAGTTGAGTATATGTCTCATGTAAACCATGTTGGCATTTAACTCCATATTTGTAGCAAGCGTCGGTCCTATCAACAAATCACGTCTGCATGAACAAATAGGAAAAATTATATACTTCTTGAAATACATGGAAAATGTACATACTATATATTTTAATTCAAAATAGATTTTTAATTTGAATCGTAAAGTATAAGATATAAAGTTTACCAACTATCAAAGTGCTTGAAAGACTTCCTTGTACACAACATTAGTAGTAGTAGAACACGGTACATTCTCCTTGTCATGAATTAGGATTTTTAGCCCACTTTTGCTCTTAACTCTTGAAATTGCAACATATAATTGACCATGACTAAACACAGGAGTAGGCAAATACAATCCAACACTATCAAGAGATTGACCTTGTGACTTATTAATTGTCATTGCATAGGAGACAATAATCGGAAATTGTCTCCTAATCAACTTGAATGGCCAAGGTGAATCAGAAGGTGACATAGACATTCGTGGAATGTAAAAAATGTTACCTATGTTCTTTCCAGACATGATTTTTGCCTCAATGACATGATTTGCAAATCTTGTAACAATTAATCTTGTTCCGTTGCACAACCCATCGACTTGGTCCAAATTTCTCATTAGCATAATAGGTGTACCAACCTTCAATTTGATCCTATGATTGGGAAGCCCTGACGTTCTTAATTTACTGAGAAATTCAGGAGTTAGAACTTCATATGCTTCAGTATAACTTGAATCTGTTCTATCAATGGAATCAAGACTCAAATACTCTTTCTCTTCTCCTAAAAAAAAGTTTAAAAGCAAAACATAAATAAATTAGTAAAACTATGTTCTTAAATATATATATATATATATATATATATATATATATATATATATATATATATATATATTATGAATGTAATAATACAGTAAATATAAAACACATGTACCTGGTATCAAGTCTAATACATAATGATTGATTTTGTCCACAACTTCAATGGTTGAAGCAAGAATATCCTTTCCTTGTAAGAATTCAACATCTTGATATTTTTCCAACAAATTGGGATATGTGTTTTCAACAATTGCTCTTATAGGATCATCAAAATTTGATATTAATAGCTCTTGAGGAATTTCAATATCAACCAAACCATCATTGGGTTCACAAATCTTACCATCACCCACACTTAAAATCCATTTTGAAAATTCCGCTAGTTCATTAGAACTTGTGTTGTCTCTTCCCTCTTGAAGTCTCATATTTTTTGATAGTGTTAAAACCTGGAAATAATCCCATACATAAGATGAACTAATTGATGCATGAACAATATCAGAACGCCCAGCTCTTGGAACAACAGGAAGAATCTGTCTAAAATCTCCTCCAAATACAACAACTTTTCCACCAAAAATAGTATTCTCAACACCCTTTTTGCTCATTACATCTTTAAGGGTTTTATCCAATGCTTCGAAGCAGTTCTTGTGAGACATAGGTGCCTCATCCCATATTATCACATCCGTTGCTTCAAATAATTGAGAATGTTCGGTGTCTTTATCGATGTTGCAAGTTGAGTTGTCAAGCGTTGGCACAGGTATTTTGAACTTTGAGTGTGCTGTTCTTCCACCCGGCAATAATAACGAAGCTATCCCACTTGAAGCAACAGTAAGAACAATTTTTTTTGAGAACGAAGCGGAAGGATTGGAGTCCATATAAGGTGGCTGCGGATCTGTGCGTAAAGCAGAAGGAATTAGTACATTACCATCAAGAACTTACAATATACATTGTGAATACCTTCTTAACTCAAACAAATGCGGTGAGCCTAGCGGCGTCACCGCGGATCTGCACGCAAAGCGCAAGGATTGGAGTTCGTGTAAGATGGCTGCGGATCTGTGCGTAAAGCAGAATGAATTAGTACAGTATCATCGAGAACTTACGATATACATTGTGAATACCTTCTTAACTCAAACAAATGCAGTGAGCATGGCGGCGTCGCCGCGGATCTGCAGGCAAAGCGGAAGGATTGGAGTCCATATAAGGTGGCTGCGGATCTGTGTGTAAAGCAGAAGGAATTAGTACAGTACCATCGAGAACCTACGATATACATTGCGAATACCTTCTTAACTCAAACAATTGCAATGAGTGTGGCGGCGTCGCCGCGAATCTGCACGCAAAGTGGAGGATTGGAGTACGTGTAAGATGGCGGCGGGTCTGTGCACAACTCAGATGGAATAAGAGCAGTGGTTTTGTTTTCATATGTCCTTAGGCGTTTTTGTAATTTT